CGAAGGCAGTCGCTTAACCAACTGAGCCACCCAGGCGCCCAAGGAAAAAGCATTCTTACCAATAGCCTAACTTTCAGAGACCCATAATTCAATTTTCTGGAGCCCTAACATCATCCTCTCTTCCATGAGTGATGTGGGAAACAGAGGCATAAGGAAATGTAAACAAAGTTGAGTTTGTTAATCCACTAATCTACGCCCCTCACCAACATTCCAAAAATATATCATTAACATAGCCATACTTTGTGAGGGGCGTAGATTAGTGGAGAGTTCTGTAAGAGCCACAACCCCACTCTCCTTGACTGACTTCACAGGAGGCCTTTACCTATTTGTTCTATTCCCTATCTTTAGAACTCTGCCCTACTCAGGCTGAATAGTACAGTTCTGACTCTGCCAGTTTGCTCAGATTATTCCACTCTCTTCATTTCCAACAATCCTAATTCTGCTTTTCCTCTTAAACCCAACTCAGATCCCTTCCACTCTAAAAATGCCCCAATTAATGCAGTTATCCTCACCTTTGGATTTACATAGAAATAATTACTAAACAATTTGACAGTTGTGAGGGGAACTTTCTTTTGTCCTTTTCACATCAAAGGGAAAATAGTCATTTTAAGGTTGTACCACTTAATTGAGCAGGTGATGTGAGTTTAATTTTCAACTTTGAATTTGGAATAATGGAGGTTCATCTTTGTGCCTCAGTTTTTGAAACTGTGTGTTATAAGTGTGAGGAGGGCAAGCAATATGAGTTTTCTTGACTAGATGATGTTCAGTACTATTAACTATTCTTGGCAACCAGAAACAGTGTTTGCTCTGTTAGAAACATACAGGTGGTATTGATGAAGCAACCTGGGAATTTCCAACTAACTACAAAAAACTGCAGCAAGTTTTTCTTTCCTGTTACTTTCTTAGTACTTCCTGAACTAAAGGAGAAAAAAAACATGGTGGATCGTTCAAAACCCCTTCCTACATCCCTTCAGAATGAGTTCATCCCTGAGGAAGTTCTTCTTTCTCTGTCCTATGCAGCCAGTGCTGGTCCTTGCCCTGAAAACTTACTGCCCCCTAAGAAAATTAAAACCCCAAAGGTGAGTATATACCTATATGAAGAACTGGGGAACATGTCTTTTTGGTATCCAGTTCATTAGGTATTTATTGAGCATGTTCTTGTAAAAACCAAAATTCAGCTGAGTAAATTTGAGGCTCTAAGTGGCTTTATTCAGCAATTCATGAATCAGGCAGCATCCCATATAGGAAGTGGAAAGGAATTCTGAGAAGCTATACAAAACAGAGGGCTGTTTTTGGCGGAAAGGGGCAGGGACAAGGAAATCATAAACAGAAGAAAGGGTTATTTTGGGCAAGGTCATCTTCTGGGGAAGGGTGGGAGCCTATCAGGTTGATTACCTCTCTAGTGCTGATGAGGAACTTCCAGCTGATTGGCTTAAAATGCCACTCTTGGGAGATGCCATACTGCCATTAGGTAAGGTGTTAAGTGTTGGTTTGCTGATGTGAGGCTTAGCACAAGTGACTTCATTTTGGGCTTCTTTTTTAATGTTATATATTCCTTTTTTTTTTTTTTAAGATTTTATTTATTTGTCAGAGAGAGAGAGCAAGCACAAGCAGGGGGAGTGGCAGGCAGAGAGAGAAGCAGTTTCCCTGCCCAGCAAGAAGCCTAATGCGGGACTCGATCCCAGGACCCTGGGATCATGACCTGAGCTGAACGCAGACGCTTAATGACTGAGCCACCTAGGTGTCCCAGTGTCATGTTCCTTACCATCTTTTAAAATACTTCAAAATTAATTTCCTTGAAACTAAAATCATTTGCACCAGTGTTTCCAAGGAAATGCTTTTTAAAATGTGATTTACCTAAGTGATCATTATTACTATTCTCAGTCTTGATATGTTTCTTTCACTTTTGAATTGTCCCAGTTTCAGTTTTTCTCCATAGTATTGATTAAGCATTCTGCTCTCTCTTTTTTCCATAGACCATCCAAATGCCTTTAATGTAAACATTCCAAAGGATTAACAGATTTCATTTGACTAGAGCTCCCTCTGCTGTCTATTCATGTTATTTGCTTTTTTCTTAGGGTACACTTCCGCGTCCGGCTAACCAAGTCTGGTATCACCCTATTAGAAGAAATAAGTTCAGATACCTGATTGACCATCCTGTTTCCTTAACTGGTGCTGGAAGGTAAAGAAGGCAGATGAGGGTAGATGCCGATGAATAGAGTTGTTTTCTTATTTCTTTGGGAGGGGCACAGGTGGAAAAATCATAGAATCAAAGATTTTAAATTTGAAGCTTACAGTATCTTTGAATCAGAAAACAATCTGAAGAAGACACAAGACCACCCTTCTGTGTGTAGAATTATTACCTCTATCGGCTTTTGCTTTGTTAAGATTTGCTTTTTGCATGCCTTTGTGTCCTTGTCTGCTTACTCTTCTGTCCCTTGTTGTACCCTAGTAAAAGGAACAAGACCCCCGAGGCAGAGTGTCTTATAGTGACTCTTTCATCTGTACATTTAAGAAGAGTAAGGTGACATAGCTTCACGAAAACCTTGAAAAGCAAGTGCTTACTCCTTGGTTTTTCTCAAAGTGAATCCTTCACCTTTAGATCAAATCAGCAAATACTCTTTGTTGTTTTTATGTCATTCCTAAAAATATGAATGTCCTGGGTTTCCCTGTGAAGAATGTGACCACCTCATTTTTCTGTGTGTGGTCCATTTATCAGTTGCATGCCCCTCATGAGATATCACTTCATCTGAAAGAAACAATATGTAATATTATGACACATTAATGACACATTAATATGTAATAATAAGCATATTAATACATGTGTAGGTTATTTAGTCTTTCTGAGTTCCATTTTCTCATTTGTAAAAGGGAATAATAGACTGGCTCCATTTTGTGGACCTCCCGGAGATATTGTAAAGCACATATTTTAAAGGAAATAATGGGCAGTGCTTTGTATGTATGTATTTGTGTGTATATGTATATAAGCTCTACACCCATCATGGGGCTTGAACTCATGACCCTGAGATCAAGAGGCACGTGCTCCACTGACTGACCAGCTAGATGCCCCTGTACAGTGCTATTTAAATATAAGCTGTTATTACTCAGGTATGTCTCAGTGCTAGAAAAGGTGGCAGGAACTTGGGCTATTACCTTTTGTGTCCTGGGGCTTTGGTGTCAAAGTATCGTATTTTATTTTATACCTTCAGATCACGGTTATAATTATCACTAGTTATAATTAGTAGTTATGAAATGTTTGAAGTACTTTGAAAAAAATAATAAGCTATATCTGAATGCAGGAATAACCCAATATTAAAGTTTTACTGTCAAATGACTTCTCACTTGGAATTTTTAAACTGTGAAGATCTGTATTGTGGTAAGCAGGATAATAGCCTCCCCGCAAAATGTTTTCAGTGTACCTCAGAACTTGAATACATACCTTACATAACCAAAGAGACTTTGCAGATGTGATTAAGGTTAAGGACCATGAGATGGTGAGATTAACTTGGATTCTCGGGATGGGCCCAACCTAATTGCCTGAGTCTTTGAAGTGGAAAAAGAAGGAAGTTGAACAGGTCAGAGACGAAGGAGATCACAGTGGAAGTATGAGAGAGAAGGAATTCAGCCTACACTTGCCGGCTCTGAAGATGGAGGAAGGGAGGACACAAGCTAAGAACTACTGTTGGCCTCTAGAAGCTGGGTATGGCCCTCAGCTGGCAGGAAAGGAAAGGAAACAGGGATCTCAGTCCTAGAACTGCAAGGAATTGAGTTCTGTTAACAGCTCCAATGGGCATGGAAATGGATCTTCCCTTAGAGCATCCAGAAAAGAATACAGCCTTGTCAACACCTTGATTTTAGTCTGTGAGACCTGTGTTGGACTTCTGACCTATAGAACTGTAACATAATAAATTTGTGTTGCTTAAGCAGGTAAATTTGTGGTAATTTTTATGGCACCAGTAGAAAATTAATACATGTATGTATAACTAATAGTATTTATAACAAGAGGTTATAGAGTTAGGTTAAGAGTATAGGTTAAGTGTATAATAAATACTATTATGTCTAGCAACCTTAAATATTTAGAGCACAGCAGTAAAATATAAAACAACCCAGCAAATAGCCTCTGAATAATATTTTTCAACAGCTTTATCAGTCAGAGTTCAGAAAATAAAACCTATTTTATTTTGTATTTTTGTTAAAGATTTTATTTATTTATTTGACAGAGAGAGACACAGTGAGAGAGGGAACACAAGCAGGGGGAGTGGGAGAGGGAGAGGCAGGCTTCCCGCTGAGCAGGGAGCCCGATGCAGGCCTCCATCCCAGGACCCTAGCATCATGACCTGAGCTGAAGGCAGACGCTTAACGACTGAGCCACTCAGGCGCCCCAATAAAACCTATTTTAAACAGTAAATCGAGTATTTACAAAATTGTCAGGAGGGCTAAAGGAGAAAATATGAAGCAATACTTTTGGGAATAACTCTCAGAACAGGGTGGAATTAACCTACCATGCAGGCTACTACCTCCAAGGCTGCCACAAGAGTTCAAGAGTCCAAAGAAGGTAAAAATGGCCAATATGCACATGAAAAGCTGCTCAACATCATTAGCCATAAGGAAATGCAAATCAAACCATGAAGAGATACTATTTCACACCTACTAGGATGATAGTTGAAAAGCAGACAATAACAAGCATTTGTGAGGATGTAGAGACATCGGCAGTGTCATACCTTGCTGGTGGGAATGTAAAATGGAGCAGCCTCTTTTTTGGCAGTTCCTCAAAAATTTAAACATAGGCTTACCAGATGACCCAGCAATTCTACTCCTAGGTATATACCCAAGAGAATAGACAGTATATGTCTGCACAAAAACTTACAATGAATATTCATGGCACCTTTATTCATGCACCCAAAAAGTGGAAACAAACTGTCCATTAGTTGATGAAAAAATAAACAAAATGGCGTATACAATGGAATATTATTCAGCCATAAAAAGGACTGAAGTATTGATACCTGCTACAACATTGATGAATCTTGAAAGCATGCTAAGGAAGCCAGTCATAAAAGGGCACATGTGTGTTTCTATTTATATGAAATGTCCAGGATAGGGAAATCCAGAGACAAAAAGTAGATTATTGGTTGCTGGGGGTGGGGCTGGGGAGAGGAGTGGAGAATTCCTGTTAATGGGTAAGGATTTTTTGGTGATGATCATACAACTTTGTGAATATATTAAAACTTGTAAATTGTGAATATACTAAAAACTTGTGAATATACTAAAAACTTGTACTCTTTAAAAAGGTGAATTTTGTAGTCCGTGAATGATACTGCAATTAAAAAAAAAGTCCCCTTAACTGTGATCCAAGGATCTGGAAGCTGAAATCAAGAAGCTGTCACTGAGGTTACTGCACTGCCCCTCTGGACCGGGTAGCTGGAGAGTGGATTCTGGAATGTTTCAGGAAAACCACTTTTCCATGTTGTTGCTGGTAGAATCAACTAAAGACATGACAGGAAAGTGACTTCTGTTTTACTTCTACCTCTGAAATCTTGCAAATTTGCATCTACTTGCAGAACTTCGTTCTCACCCAGAACCCTAGCTGCAAGGGTGTCTGGGAAAGTGCTTTCCAACCCTTTCAACCCAAAGAAGGACCCAACACCCACCAGGGCCTGCCATATTCCAGTACTGACTTAGGTTTCAGAAACATAACCACACTGTCCTCAGGACACTTCTAACTTCATAAGTCATTACCTGAATTGTCAAGAAAAGATTACTTTGTATTATGTACACTCTGTTTAAGAAAGCTGCCATGTTTTAAATACATTTTAGAAAGACTTAATGTTTTTTAAAGCATACCTCAGTTATTTGGAAAATCGATCTCTCTGAAATACCTCATTCCTTGACAACTTCAGATAAAAGACATGCTTATTTATGAACATAGCCAGTGATGATCTGAAGAAAAATTTGGAGTATGAACTCAGTTTGATAATCTGGGGGATCCAGTTTTTGTGTTATGGCTAGGAATCAAAGTTTGTTTTTTTTTTGTTTTTGTAAATAAAAATAGATTTTCCAGAGGAGTAGAAGCAGGTGATTTACCACAAGAGTTTTATAAGAAATAAAACAGATTATTTTATTTTACTTTTTAAAAGATTTTATTTATTTATTTGTCAGAGAGAGAGAAAAAGAGTGCACAAGCAGGGGGAGGGGCAGAGGCAGAGGGAGAAGCAGGCTCCGCGCTGAGCAGGGAGCCTGATGCGGGACTTGATCCCGGGATGCTGGGATCATGACCCGAGCTGAAGGCAGACACTCAACCAGCTGAGCCACCCAGGTGCCCCCAAACAGATTATTTTTTATTTTTATTTTATTTTTTAGAAGATTCTATTTATTTATTTGACAGAGAGACAGAGTGAGAGAGGGAACACAAGCAAGGGGAGTGGGAGAGGGAGAAGCAGGCTTCCCGCGGAGCAGGGAGCCTGATGTGGGGCTTGATCCCAGGACCCTGGGATTATGACCTGAGCTGAAGGCAGACGCTTAATGGCTGAGCCACCCAGGCGCCCCTCATTCATTGTTTTTAGCTAACAAAGTTATATTGGCCAATCTCTAGCAGTTATTGGTGTGATAGTGACTAATGTCCCATCATCCTGAGAGCAACTTTGTAAAAAAAAAACTTTATTAAAAAAAAACTTTATTGAGATCTTTGACACAAAAATTGTGTATATTTAAGGCATACAACTTGATGTTTTCATAAATGTATACATTGTAAAAAGATCGCAGTCAAGCTAAATAACTCTGTATAATTACCATTTGTGTGTATCCGTGAGTTTATATGTGTGTGGTAAGAAGATTAAATTTCAGATCTATTCTCTTAGCAGATTTCAAATATATAACACAGTATTGCTAACTGTCATCATCGTGCTATACATTAGATCTCCAGAACTCATTCATCTTGCATCACTGAAACTTTGTACTTTTGGACTAACATCTCCTCATTTTCCCCTTTCCCCATGTGCTCATCTGACATATAAATGAAATCATACAGTATTTGTCTTTGGCTTATTTCACTTGGCACAATGTTCTCCAGCTTCATCCATGCTGTCACAAATGGCAGGATTTCCTTTTTAAAGGCTGAGTAACATTCCATTGTCTATACATACACATTTTCTTTATTCATTCATTCATCAGTGGACATTTAGGTTGTTTCCATGTCTGGGCTATTGTGAATAATGCGTCAATGAACATGGGAGTGCAGATATCTTGTCAAGATCCAGATTCATTTCCTTTGGATATAAACCCAGAAGTGGGATTGCTGGGTCATATGGTAGTTCTATTTTTTATTTTTTTGAGGAAGCTCCATACTATTTATCATAATGGCTATACCAATTACAATTGGGGGAGGGGCAGAGACATGTGAAAATCACGTGCAGTAAGTGGTGTGATTATAACTGCTATAGGAAGGTGAATTGGCAGAAGTGTGTAGAATGTACTAGAGAGACTTGAGAGCCACGTAAAAAGTAGGGATAGCTTGGACTAGTGATTTGGCATTGGCAAGAGACAACAGGGTCAATGCTAGAATGCTATGAGGGTGACTATGAAATTAAGTGTTAGTGGTGGATGGGAATTTAGGGCAATGGATGGGAAGGAATCAATTATGTATGCTGAGCTTTTGTTGGATAGAATGGTAGTACTTCCTGACAATTAGTGAGGATAGGAGGGTGGAGAGTTAGAATGGAGGGAGGATTATTCAGTGTATGTAGAGGTAACAAATGTTACCTCTGTGATAAGGTGAGATTTGCATGGCATTGGCAAGAGAGAAAGTATAGGGTAGGAAGACAGACAGATGAGGCCATAATGTTGCAGGGCATTTCCATTTAGTAGACAGGAAGTCACAGAGGAGTCCAAGAAGGAGAGGTTAAGCAAAAGAACCAGGACTCCAGTAACAGAGGATAGAGGAGAGGATAATGTTTTTAAAAAAGAGATGATCAACCCTGGGAAATATTACAGGGAAATAGTGGAAGAGAAGAGCTGATGACTTAGCAGTAGAAAGTCATCAGCTTTCTAGAGCAGTTTCAGAAGAGAGATAGGTATTGAAATTAGATTGCAAGGAAATTTGAAGAAATCTGATTAACGGAATGTGAGAGATCAGTTGATAGATCCTGATAACATGGTCAAGGAAGGACTTTTAGAAGGGGAAAAGACTTGAGTTATAGATCAAAGGGAATGTTCCAAGGGAGGGGGAAACATACAGAAAGTAGATAGGTAGAATGAGATCCCAAAGGATGTGGGTAAAGATGAAATCAAGGACATCAGTGGAGGAAATAACCCTGGGGAAGAGAATACATCTTCACCCGAGGTTGAAGGAAGGGAAAGGATTTGTGATGTGAAGGAGAAATGTGAGGTGGAGAAGAGGAATAATGGGGTGGGGGTGGTTCTTGTCTAATGCCTCCGCTGTCTTAGTGAAGTATGAAGTAAGGAGCCTGGTTTTGTGCCCCTTTTCACTCACTAGAAGGATGTATGTGGATCTTACCCACTCTTATCCGGTAGCCAGACAGAAAGTTTATTTTGTAAATATATTTTTCTTATTTTTTAGGGATATTTCTTTTCTGTACGATGTTAAATATGTTAAAGGAGAGGCCAGGGAGAGTTCGCTTTGTCCCCCACGTTTGGAACGTTCATTACAGTCACATGATGGTGTCATTGTGTCTCATAAGGTAAATAAAGTATTTGACAAATAATTTCCTCTCCCTCTAATTTTTAAAAATCATTTCCTTAAAAATATAAAGCAATGTTGTACTGTAGCACTTTCTAATTATTTCTAGGAAAAAGTATTTAGTGGGAAAGTTTCTATGATACTTTATTTTAAGCCATTTTTCAAACTACAGTTATCCACTTTAATCTAGAAAATACAGTATAGAAGACTAGATTTTTTTTTAATTTACAGTTCAAAGTTGTAGAATTCTTATTTTTGGCATGTTGCTAAGGTAATTTTTAAATTGCTATTGAATTTTATTTATTTTTTATTTTTATTTTTTTTAATATTTTATTTATTTGAGAGAGACAGAGACAGAGAGAGCACAAGCAGGGGGAGGGGAAGAGGGAGAGTGAGAAGCAGGCTCCCGCCGAGCAGGGAGCCCGATGCGGGGCTCGATTCCAGAACCCTGAGATCATGACCTGAGCCGAAGGCAGATGCTTAACCGACTGAACCACCCAGTCACCCCTCCTATTGAATTTTAAAGAGTCAATGGATTACTGAATATGTGGGACATGTGTGAATAATACTAAAACCAAGGTTGTTCTTTAATTCATGGTTATTTTTTAAATGTGTGCTCTGCTAAATGTTTTTTATTATGTCCTATTGTCCATATTACTAATATTGTTATTTCTATTATCAAACCTCTTAATAAGTAGTATCCCTTTGGGATAGGAATGTTGATTTATGCAATCCAACTTTTTTCATTTACTAATGTTTTCATTCTTGTCCTTCTTTCTTTCTTTTTAAGCCAAAGAAACTAACAGATACTTTGCTTCCTGAAGAATTTCATATTGTGTCAAATACAGGAGTTTCAGGTTTGGAGTGTTATGATGAGTGAGTACCATAGTATATCCTGAATATCTGACAAGTGGAACTGTTTTCTCCTTCTCAGACATAGAGGAACCTGAGAACAGTTCCTAGGTAATATCTACATTGAAATAAGGAAACATTTGGTCTTCCATCCTAAATTTAAGAATGAAAATGTCTTATTGAAAAGAGTTTGGGATTTTAGTGATCAAAATGTTCTCTGTCTTTCCCTACTATTTAATTTTCAGTTAAAGAAGTGGATCTGTGTTCTGAATGCTCACCTAGGCCTCCTTAGGAATGGTTTTGGGTAGTGGCCAAAGAGACAAAGGAAAGTAGCCCTCTGAGTTGGTGTCTCATAAGGCACACTCTAGGGCTTGGATCCAGCCTTCACACTAGTCATCTCCAGTTTTCTTTGTTTCCTGCTTATGGCACTGAAAATGGGATCTTCCTTGTATTTTATGAAACAATGTTTGAATGTTTCATAGTGTAAAAAACTAGAATTATGGACTAAGGTTTTATAATAAAATCTCCAGAGGCTGTTACTCTTTTTACTTTTTCAATACACATGGCATTTCCTTATGTTAGTGGGTTTCAGAACAATATTTTGTCAAAAAGAACTAAATGGAATTCATTTTGGGGGAACGTTTAATTTTTATATAATTTCAAAATTATAAAAATGTTACAAAATATGGCAAGCAAGCAACTCATGTACTCTCTGTTTTAACTCACTGAGTATTTACATTTTGCCTTATTTACTTTGATATACACACACATTAAAACTATTCAAGAGTAAGTTGGAGATATGACCCTTTACCACCAAATGCTTCAGTGTATATTTCCTAGCAACCTACCAGTTATAGATCTTTTTGATGACTTTTTTAGCTTCATCATTTCTTCTCTGTTTATTAGTTAGCATTTTACCATATGAATTCATGGATTTCTATTTTTTTTCTGTGGGTTATAGTTCTTTACTATGATTATTTTTTATTAAAGATTTTATTTGTCAGAGAGAGAGAGAGCGCACAAGCAGAGGGAGAAGCAGGCAGAGGGAGAAGCAGGCTACCAGCTGAGCAAGGAACCCTATGCGGGACTGGATCTAGGACCCGGGGATCATAACCTGAGCTGAAGGCAGACTCAGCTTAACTGACTGAGACACCCAGGCATCCTTACTATGATTATTTTTATGTTAAAAAATTTTTAGATTTGGCCAATGTTAGCTCCTCTGAGCTGGCTCTTGTGTTCTTTGGACATGTCCCCATGATTCTTTGAGTGTTTCCTTATTTTCTGACTCAATAAGATTTCCAGGTTCATCTTATATTTCCCAACTCCAGCTGTGGAATGAGCTATGTCACTTCTCCAGGGAGTACTGATTCCTTTGAGTGGAGAATGGTACTTAGAAGTCAAGATCTGGGTGGTAGGCATGCTCATTGTGCCTGGGCTATCATTGTTTCTGGTTCCTCTCATTCATTTTTGAAACTTTATTTTGAGTCTTTATAGTCCCTGGAGATTTTTCACTTATATAAATTCTGAAAATGGACCTTATTAACCAACTGAGTTCCAGCAGGGGGCAGAACGAAAGGAAATACTTATTAACAAGGGGAAGAAAAATGTTACATAAATAATAATGAGTTAGGATTACAATGTGGTTCTCACTGTGACACTCATTTAGGTGGAAATGAGCACTCTCAGAGGACAGATTTGGCTGGGTGTTAGGAAAACTGGGTTCTAGCTTCATCTCTGCTTATTAATTTTATAACCTGTTTATTCACTTAACTTTGTTGACTTCAGAGTTCTTAGAACATCCTTCCACCTTTGAAAAGGCATTTAAAAAAATGAACCAAGGAAATGTTCATATTGTCACATATGAGGAATGTTATTAAAACTCCTTTACTAAAAATATTACAAATATGTTAAATGTCATTACATCTGTGTCTGTCGATGCCTTGGGATGATCTTGTGGGTAAAATGATGGACATTTTCATTTGCCTCCAAGCTTCCCAATTTTTGAGGTCTTAGGTTTATCATGTTGTGATATGTGATAAACAGGCCAGTTAATTTTCTTACAATAATATTTATCTGTCTTATTTATTGCAGCAAATATACTACTCTCCTCACAGATAGTGAAAACAGGCTATTGCTCTTCCCATCCATGTAAGTACAGTTTATTTTTGAAAGTATTTCTCAGAAGGAACAAATACATATGAATATGTATTTTAATATGCATATGTATTTTTCTTAGTACTTTATTGCACAGAAAATATTAAAATTATAGCAGAAACCCAAGACAATAAGTGTCCACAATTCCATCATCTGATCAGTGTTTTCAATTTTTACACATTTATAATAATATTTAAGTACTATAAAATATTATTTTTTACAGTTTTTTTTCTAAAATTTTATTTTGTTGTGGTAGGAACACTTAACATGAAATGTCTTCTTAACAAATTTTTAAGTTTTCAATACAGTATCATTCAGTCTAGGCACAAGGTTGTACAGCAGATTGTTTTGCTACAGTCCTTTTTTTTTTTCTTCTTATCTCTCCATTGTCCCTTTTCTTCACTTACATTGTGAAGTAACCAATATTAACAGCTTGGTATTTATCTCTCCATATTTCTTCTATGTTCTTACAATGCTGCACACTAGGTGTATAGAATTTTAGGAAGGAAGCATTATTTTATTTACAAAGAGGATCATACTATTTACATTTTCCTTTTTCTTTTTTTAAAAATTTTATTACTGCTATAATCCACTGGATCAGTACATACAGGGCTAATGCTTTAAAATACCATTAATATTCCATGGGCACCTGGATGGCTCTGTCCATTGGGCGACCTCTTGGTTTCACTCAGGTCATGATCTTCGGGTCCTGGGATTGAGCCCTAGGTTGGGCTCCACACTCAGTGGGGAGTCTGCTGGGGCTTCTCTCCCTCTCCCTCTGCCCCTTCCTCCTCCAGCTCGCTCTCTCTAAAATAATAAAAAAAAAATACCATTAATATTCCATAGTATATACATTTTATATATATTATTTTTGTCATTTGAGGATAACCTGTTACAACACTTAATTACATAAGTCTGTCACCTTAATCTTTTAGGAAACCTAATAAAAGAGTAGAAGTGGTCCAGCTTAATGATGTGATGGATGCTATGCTAGAGAGGGCTGGTGTGGAAAATCAGGAATATACAGGGCCAACCAAGGTAATTGCAAAGATCAATGTAACCTAGTGGTTGAGAGCATGCATTCTGGAGCCAGAATGTCTGGATTGGAATCCTGGCCCTGCCATTTATTAGCTAGTGACCTTGGGCAACTCACTTAATGTATTTGTGCCTCAATTTACTCATCTTTAAGTTAGAGGTAATAATCATACCTACCTCATAGGGTTGTTGTGGAGATTAAATGACATATGAATATAAAGGGCTTAGAATAGTGCTGGGTATGTAGCAAACACTGTATAATTGTTGGTATTATTATTACCGTATTTCATTGACTATAAAGTAGCATTGATTATAAGACCTTTATTATTTTATGTACCACTAAAAAACACTGCCAATTAAACCATGCTTTCTTACCTCTTAAAATTTTTATTTTATTAATGAAAAAGCTCTTTCAACCTTACAGAGATACAGATATTTTTCTTTATGGGGGCTCTTCCTCTTTTGTTTTGTAAATTTTTATTTTTACAGAATTTGAAACTTAAAGACAAGTTCCGTATAAGGCATTCCTATGTAAGCTTTACCCAGATTCACTAATAGTTTACATTGTGCCCTACTTGCTTTATCATTCTCTCTTCCTCTTTACATGCATATCTCTATATGTATAGTTTTTCCTAACCATTTTACAGTAAGCTGGTGACATCATGCCTCTTTATCACCAAACATTACAGGGCATGTTTCCTATGGATAAGGATATTCTTTTATATATCCATAATACAGTTATCAAAATCAGGAAATTTAACATTGATGTGTTGGTATTACCTGTCCATATTCAAATTTCAAATTTTATCAGTTGTACCTGTAATGGTTTTTATAGCTCTTGTCCCCACTGTTTCAGGATCCCAGGATCACAGAGTGCTTTTGTGTGTCATGTTCCTTTAGACAACTATATTCTGAAACAGTTCCTTGTTTTTCTTGACATTGATATTTGGAAGAGCATATGCCAGTTATTCTGTAGAATGTTCCTCAATTTTGGTTTGTCTGATGTGTACTCATGATTAGATTCAGGTTATGTATTTTTGGCAGGGATGATATAGAAGTGATACTGTGACCTTCTCAGTGTATCATGTAAAGAGGTACATGATTAAACATACTTTTAAAAATATATTATATTTTTATATTTTAAAAATAATATATCATTTTTGTAGATATATTTATAAAGAAAAATATAAGTGAAATAAATTATCAAGGCATTTCTAAAATATTCACATTCGGAGTATTTACTTCCTAAAATGGTTTTTTACTGATAAGACAGTAATAAATACTGATGATGTTCCTTATCTTCTGCCAGATGCACAAACTACTACATATATTGAGGAAGGAACAGACCATTTACAATACAGTATTTCATGAACTTATTCGACAAGTCAGTGTGGATTGTGCAGATAGAGGAGAACTACTGTCCAAAATCAGGTTAGAGCTGTTACCGGAATATCCCAGTTTGAGTTTTATAGTACAATTATGTTTATATCTGCTTTTGAGAAGATCACAAAAGTTCCCTTCTCTATTCTATTGATAATAAGGAACTGTATTGCATTTTTATTTTCTATAGTAAAAATATAATAGTTGAGAACTTCCTTAAGATGATTTCTGTTGAGATGTTTGACACATATTCTTTTTTTTTTTTTTGAGATTTATTTATTTTGGGGGGGAGGGGCAGAGGGAGAGGGAGAGAGAGAATCTCAAGCAGACTGTGTGCTGAGTGCAGAGCTTGATGTGGGGCTCGATCCCACAAACCTGAGATAGTGACCTGAGCTGAAATCAAGAGTCTGATGCTTAACCAGCTGTGCCACCCAAGGGCCCCGACACCATATTCTTTTATGATTGGGAGTGAAGTGCTATGTGAATTACTAGAAAATGTATAGATTCTGGAGACAGACTGATCTGGTTTCAAATCAACATCTAGATGTGTGATCTTGGCAAAAGTGTGAGCCTTAGTTTTCTCATCTGTAGATGCAGATAATAACTACTGTGAAAAATTTTATTTGTCCATTTGTTCATTCATCAGTCAGTGATGTCTATTGAGTGTCTATTCTGTGTCAAGCATTAAGAGGCTTCACAGGATTGTGGTGAGGTTAAATGAGAGCACAGAGGTAGATGGTCAATACATATAATTATTATAGATGATCATGATAAATACTATTATAACTATAATGTTTCTGAATGACTGTGGTACTTTACAAAACCTGGAAGGAATAGTGGAATTAGAATATTGGGTTCAAATTACATATCTGCAGATTACTTGCCATGGAACCACAGGAAAATTATTAGATCTTTCTGAATGTGTTTCTCCTGAATGAGAATAAATAATATAAATTTGCCTTATTTGCCCACTGTCTGACTTAGAAGCTGAGTCTTCCTATCTGATGGTGCTGAGAAATGAAGACCAAAGCCGTTAATAAGATACTTGTCAAGATTAGATACTAAGGAGTCAGTTCTTGGAACACCTCAGGAGCTGGAGAATGCAAATTAGAAGGAGGATAGGGACAACTGAAGTCTGAGTTGTCAATCTAAGAACAGAACTGGGAGGGACAGATGAGGAAGCATAGCAAAAGAGCTAGATGACTAATGGTGGATCCAGACTTTCCCATTTATGAGTAGAGGTGAGTGGGACTCTTCCAGCTGATTTCAGGAGTTAGCTTCTAGGGGCCAAAATAGGGTGGGGTCCAATCCCAAAAGTCTAGACAGAAAGAGACAGGCAGGCAAGTCAAAGCCGAAATCCTTTAAGAAAAGTTGAGTCACCATGGTCAGAAAAATACTAACTCCAAGGTACCAGAGACAGGATCTCAGTAGGGCATTAAAGCCAAGGACTTAGAATAGGGTAAAGTTGGGAATTAAAAATGTAAAGTAGCTGTTGGAGTGCCTGGCTGGCTCAGTCAGTAGAACATGTGATTCTTGATCTTGGGGTAGTGAGTTCAAGTCCCACTTTGGGCATGGAGCTTACTTTAAGTAAATATATACATACATACGTAAATAGAAAGTATACATGAGTGTGGAATATTCTTTAAAAAAAAAAGAATACAAAGTAGGTGAGAATAAGCAATGAGCATTTAGACTGATTGCTGCAAACATTCATGATGTGTCTATGGAATGGTGAAACATTCACTAGGTTCAGAATAATCTAGTGGTCAGCATTTTGTTGTGGTAGGAGATCTTTTGAAGGTCTAGGGCCTACCTTCGATGGGGAAGGTTGTCCTGAGTTTGGTATCTTAAAGAGTTTTCCCTGCTTCACAAGATTGTTGTGAAGATCCAGTAGAGGTCCCCAGGAAATGGTGACGCCATGCATGCCTTGGAAATACTTGAGATCAGCCTGTGACGACTTCTCTCTGTTTGCATGTTACTGTAGCTTTCTGCTTCTGGTCTCATTGAGTGCTTCCTGATCTGCTTGTGTGTGTCCCTGCTTTTCATGCTACTGCCCCTGAGGCCTGTTGCAGCAGAAGGAAGTTTTCTATTGTTTTTTTTTTTTAAGATTTTATTTATTTATTTGCCAGAGAGAGAGAAAGAACTAGCACAAGCAGGGGGAGCAGGAGGCAGAGGGAGAAACAGGCTCCCCGCCGAGCAGGGAGCCCAATGTAGGGCTCGATCCCAGGACCCTGAAATCAGACCTGAGCCGAAGGCAGACACTTAATCGACTGAGCACCCAGGCACCCCAGAAGGAAGTTTCATATGCAACAGGGTTTCATAATAACACTTTTTTATAGGAGGAGGAATAACTGCCAGAGTGGATATGAGCTGAACAAGATTCTCAAATTACAAAGAAATAGGGATGCTGTTGTAATCTTTTTGGTTGACACTATATATATCTTTGGATGTAGCAGGCACCTGACATTTTTTCAGTTGTTGTTATTTTTATTTTTTACACTATTTTACTATGGGAATTTCCAAATATCTGTAAAAATGGAAATTATTTTATTATTTTAAAAAATTTATTTAAGATTTTTTTATTATTTATTTATTTGACAGAGAGAGACACAGCAGAGGGGGAACACAAGCAGGGGGCGTGGGAGAGGGAGAAGCAGGCTTCCCGCGGAGCAGGGAGCCCAATGTGGGGCTCGGTCCCAGGACCCTGGGATCATGACCTGAGCCAAAGGCAGAGGCTTAATGACTGAGCCACCCAGGTGCCCTGATTTATTTATTTATTTTTATTGACAGAGAGAGAGTGTGAGCAGGGGGAGGGGCAGAGGGAGAGGGAGAGAATCCTCAAGCAGATTTTGTGCTGAGCACGGATCCCAACACAGGGCTCATCCGAGCTGAAATCAAGAGTCAGTCACTTAATTGACTGAGCCACCCGGATGCCCCAAAATGGAAATAATTTTAATGTGAATGCACACATACCTACTATCTAGATTCTGCCATTAACATTTTACTTTATTTGCTTTATCACTTGTCTCTCCATCTAGCCATCCCTCTATCTATCCAGCAATTTCATATACTTCAATGTAAGTTGCTGACCTCAGTGCATTTCCCCCTAAATACTTTGTCATGTTTTTCATTAACTAGACAGAGTTCATTATTTATTTGCCGTTTTTTCCATTTTGAGTAAAATTTACATGTATCGAGAAACACAAATCTTGTTTGCCTTTATTGACTTTTGACAAATACGAACTCTTAACAAGATATGGAGGATTACCATCGTCCCTCAAAGTTCCCTAATGCTCTTTCCCAGTAAATGCCCATCCCCACTTCTCCAGGAGTTTTGACTTCTTTCCCTCTTAGATTAGTTTCACCTATTTAGGAATTTCATATAAATGGGATCATGTAGCATATATCAGTTGACCCTTGAACAGCATGGGTTTGAACTGCACAGGTTCACTTATAGCAGATTCTTTACAGTTCAGTACTGTAAATGTATTTTCTCTTCCTTTTGATTTTCTTAATAATATCTTCTTTTCTCTAGCTTACCATTTTGTAAGAATACAGTATATAGTACACTAGTTTGCTCCTAGTTTGTTATTTACCTATTCATTTTTTAAAAAATGTGCTCATCTGACTTTCTTTTATTTATTTTTAAAGATTTATCTATTTATTTTAGAGAGAGAGAGAACATATGTGAGTGGGGGGAGGGGCAGAGGGAGAGGTACAAGCTGACTTCCCCTTGAGCAGGGAGCCGGACTCAGGGCTTGATCCCAGGGCCATGAGATCACGACCTGAACTGAAATCAAGAGTCAGGAGCTCAACTGACCGAGCCACCCAGACGCCCCTGACTTTCTTTTAAAAGATAAAAGGTTCTTTTTAAGAATAGTTTTAAATTTACAGCATTGAACAGATAATAGAGAGTTTCCATTTATCCCCCCTTCTCTGTATATAGTTTCTTTCATTATTAACATCTGGTATTAATGTGGTATAATTGTTATAATTAATGAAACAATATTGATATACTGAAGTCCATAGGTTACATTATGGTTTATTTTTTGTGTTGTATTGTTCTATGGGTTTTGACAAATGCATATCTTTCAGTCATAAAAAGGAATGAAGTACTAATACATGATATAACATGGATGAACTTTGGGGCGCCTGGGTGGCTCAGTTGGTTAAGCGACTGCCTTCGGCTCAGGTCATGATCCTGGAGTCCCAGGATCGAGTCCCACGTCAGGCTCCCTGCTCAGCAGGGAGTCTGCTTCTCCCTCTGACCCTCCCCCCTCTCATGCTCTCTCTTTCTCATTCTCTCTCTCAAATAAATAAATAAATAAATAAAATCTTTAAAAAAAATAACATGGATGAACTTTGAAAACATGCTAAGTGAAAGAAGCTAGTCACAAAAGGTCACAATATTGTAATATGAAATTTCCAGAAGAGGCACAGCCAGACAGAAAGTAGATTAGTAGTTGCCAGGGCCTGGGAGACAGAGAAATGAAGAGTGATTGCTAATAGGAACCATCAAGGATTTTTTTTTTGCGGGGGGTAATGAGAAAATACTCTGGAGTTAGATAGTGCTAATAGTTGTACAACTTTTTGAATATACTAAACAGTATTATATACTTTAAAGGGTGAATGTTATGACATGTAAATTATATCTCAATAAAAAATTATAAAGTGTTCACAGTCATTTCATCATTGTGATTTCTCATTTGCACATATTCCTTTGTGTATCAAATTTCACATACCAAAAAAACCCAGCTACTTTATATAAATATAATCTGCTTTTCTATAACTTTACCCACTAATCCTCATTTTGTACTATGAAAATACTCAGAATAACTCGGTTCTTTCTTTTACCTTATAGCTATTTAAATATTTGGAAATAGCCATTTTTGTGTTCCCTCTTATGCATTCCCTTATCCAGGCTAAATATCCCCAGTTCTTTTAAGTTTTCTTGGTGAAATATACTATATGTGGAAAGCACACTAATTAGTCAATGTTGATTTCATGCAGTATCACCACCATTACAATGTTATACAGAACATTCATGGCCC